TTTTTTTCCTCGACCTTAAATGTGTACCATTTTGTTTCAAAACACGATAGGGCGATAAATATATGTCATCCACATCAAATAATGATGTCGTGTTCGAAAACAAGTCGTTCCGGAGACATTGCTTACATTTTTTGTACTTGCCCCTATTTACCCTTATTTTCCTCGACTTTGTTAAACGTGTACCATTTTGCTTCAAAACAGGATGGAGCAATAAATATATGTTATCCACATCAAATAATGGTGCCGTGTTCGAAAACAAGTCATTTCGGACACGTTTCTTACATTTTTCGTATTGGCCCCTATTTACGCTTATTTTCATCGACTTTCTTAAACATGTACCATTTTACTTCAAAACACGATGGGGCGATAAATATATGTTATCCATAATGGTGACGTGTTCGAAAACAAGTCTTTCCGGAGACATTGCTTACATTTCTCGTACTTGCCCTTATTTACCCTTATTTTCCTCGATTTTGTTAAACATGTACCATTTTGCTTCAAATCACGATGGGACAATAAATATATGTTATCCACATCAAATAATGGTGTCGTGTTAGAAAGCAAGTCTTTCCGGAGACGTTGCTTACATTTTCGTACTTCCCCCTATTTACCCTTATTTTCCTTGACTTTCTTAAATGTGTACCATTTTGCTTCAAAACACGATGGGGCGATAAATATATGTTATTCACATCAAATAATGGTGTCGTGTTCGAAAATAAGTTTTTCTGGAAACGTTGATTACATTTTTCGTACTTGCCCCTATTTACCCTTAATTTCCTCGACTTTCTTAAACGTGTACCATTTTGCTTCAAAACACGATGGGGCGATAAATATATGTCATCCACATCAAATAATGTGCCGTGTTCGAAAACAAGTCTTTCAGAGACGTTGCTTACATTTTTCGTACTTGCCACTATTTACCCTTTTTTTCCTAGACTTTCTTAAACGTGTACCATTTTGCTTCAAAACACGATGGGGCGATAAATATATGTAACGCCCAGATTTTTAATTACTATTTATTGAGCTCGACTATATTTCCATAAATATTAAGTTTCTAAATTTGATGCATTTATTATATTTATTTGTATTAAATTAAATAATTAGTATCAAAGTCTAACCATGAATAATTCATTCAACTTTAATTATTAAAGTCAGAATTTTATTTAAGCAAACCGAAGCCGAATAATTTAATTATTCGAGCCTAATGGATTTTGAGCGGATCCAAATTATAATTTTAGTCGGTCATTTTAATTCGAATAGTCGAATTAATTTCCAAGACCAAGCGATATTTTAAATATCGAGCCGTCGTAGTATTTTAATTTCGGACCCAATATTTACTTTCGGCCCAAGTCTTATTACTACAAGCCATCATATTTTATTTATAGACCATTATATTTAATTTCCTAGTCGCTATCCGATTTAATCGAGCCCGAGTGTTAGGATTTTTGCTAGCCCGATTATGTAGCGATTTTAGGCCCGACTCTCTTAAGCCCGATTCTTGGCCCAACAAAAATAGAAACCCTAGTCTTCTAGATATAAATACACTTGTCCCCTTGTCTCCCAACATCAAGACTCAAAACCTAGCCACCAAAACACTATTCACCTTCTTCCCCAAAGCTCTCACCTCCATATTCAAGATCCCTTCTAAACCTACAAGAATCCATAGCTGAAATTTCAAGAACCATGCCTTGAGCTCGAAAATCCGGCCACCCTTCTCGTTTTCCGGCGAAGGTTTGGGGAACTCGCAACTGGCAAGTCGCCACGCACCTCAACCGTCGGAAAAACGTTCTCCCAGCTCCTCACCGCGTGGTCCCAGCCGAGCCATCGTCTTCCCAGCTCGAGCTCCGCCACCTTTATCAGCTTCTCCGGTGAGCAAAACTTCAGTCCGATTGAACTGCGACCAAGCTCGTTCCCGTCACCAACATCCGCGTTCAGCCCGGTTCTAGCCTCCTAACCCACGTCCAGCTCGCAACCGCCGCCTCCAGACCCTATTCCGGTGAGTCAACCTCGGAAAGAGCAGCTCCTCCGCGCCCAGCACCTTGGACCCGCGACCCCTGCTCAAAATCCGACCGGACCCGCGGCCCTCAATAGCAAACCGACCCCCAGCTGCACTCAACGACTCAGCAGCTCCGTTTTTCGACCCTAGCTCCGACCAGCAGCACCTTAGGCCCACTTTCAGCAAGCTTGAAGATCCATTCCGACCCGTTTTGGTTTCTTTGACTCGGTTCTAGCCCGATCTACTATTGTGCTATCCCGATCTGCTCGTTTTCAAGCATTGTGAGGTATAATAACTAGAAATCGATTTTAATGGCTTAGATAAAATATTTAAGATGATATGAAGTTAATGAATTAGGTGATTTGAGCAAATTTGAATAAATCGGGATTTTCAGGCTTAAAGCGAATATTTTCTACTTTTGAAATATATGTGATAAAATACCGTAAAAAATATCATAATATTTGTTGCGTCGTTTTGAGGCTTAGGTTGAAATTTGAGAATTTTCGGACATTGTTTGGTGTGTAAACGAGGCGGTCAAATGCGTTGATCGGTCGTAGCGATTATTAGTTGACTAGTTTAGGGGTTGAATTTGGACTTTATTTGTTGACCGTGGTCTATACATATATTTAGGATGTTATGTTTCGATTTTCGTAAATTTTGGATGTTGTTTGATTTAGTTATAAAAATCGGGACTTTAGATATTAATGCCGTAAAAATAAAATATTAGTTTGATTGAGATTTTAGCTGCAGTTGTGGATTATAGATTTATTATAAATCACATAAAATGTGTATATTAATTATCGGCCTTAAATAAGTTAAAATTCTTCGAGAATCGAACCCTAGTTTTATCCGGTTCCGATAACTGGGTATTTTTCCGGATCCGATTATAATTGTCTGAACCCTAGTACCATCTAGATAATCTTTAACTATCGTATCGTAATTCGTAATGCATATCATCGTATCGTGGCCGTGATTGCCTCTCGTCCGACCGTTGGAGCTGAGCCGCTGAGTGTGTGCCCGTGCACCGAGTCCGAGTCAAACCCCCGAGTGCGTGCCCGTGGTCCAAGCACGCCCCTGCGTCAGTGATGGTGGCACCGTTTTAAACTCGTGCATCGACTAAGCCGTGTCTGTCGAGTTCGTGTCGGCCCGAGTTGCCCCGCCGAACTCGAACCACGGTCGAACCAAGCTGCACATAGTCAAGCGGATGATCGACCGGCTCCGAGTGAGCCGTCGGTCCAGTTCAGTCGAATCGGTCCCGTCAGTCCGGATTGTTCGAAATATATTTCAGATAGAATGTCAGATAAATTTCAGATGCAGTCAGATTAAGATTTCAGATAAAGTTACGAATTTCAGATAGATTTAAGATTCAGATATAGTTTAGATTTCAGTCAGATTAGATTAAGTCAGATTCTAGTCCCAGACTTAGAAATATTTCAGAGAACTCTAGAATGCCTCAAAGATGATAATATTTTTAAAATCAGCTCGTCAATCCCTAAACGATTTTTAAAGCCGAGTGAGCGAACCTAGATATATAAGATACTAAAGATTTGATTTTTATTTTGAGCTCAGTACTTAGAATACTTCGCTCAATATATTTTGTAGCTTGAGGAGAGTCGAGCCTCCATCAGCTACCCATTATAGATATATTCAGCATTCGCTTTCGCCAGTTTCCAAGTGGGGACCATGTACTGTGTATTTCATCGCTTTTAATAATTTACCATGTCTGAGATCTATATGTGTTTAAATTGAAGGACCGAGACGGATGAGTGATCTCGTCTTGGTCAATATTTCAGTATTTTAGTTATGACTTGGATGTGTGTGATTAGGGCCCGTCCTAAGTCTAGCATCCAGATGGGGTGATTAGTGTCTTTCCTGGATTTCTGTGGGAGGGGACCCCCAGAGTGTGCACATGAGTACAGGTTTACCTTTAGTCCCATAGCCAGACCAATTTATTCATATATATGTTGATTTCATAGTTTGTTATTAATTGTGCTGAGTATTCAGTGCCGGTTCCGGCGGAGCACCGTTGATTCCTTTGTGCTCACGCCTCCCCACTACCCTATTTTTCAGGTGATGGAGTCCCGCGTGGAGCGTGAGCAGTTATGTGGTGATGGTCCAGTTTCTGGACATTTTGTGAAAACATGTCATATAGTATTTGAACATGTTTGAATTATATATGTTTGTTTTATGCTTGTGTGCTTTTCTGAACTTGTACTTGCTTCCGCATGTTAGACTTGTGTTTCAGATGTCAGATTTCAGACTATTATTTCAGATGTCAGATTATGTCAGATTTTCAGAATATGCATGTTTTATCCGGTATTATTCATGGCCTTAATTCTAGAATGAATTTACTTGGTCGCATGCATGATAGATTAAAGAGATAAAGATATAAGATTAAAGTTGAGTAGCATCCCACGTTTTAAAGTTAAAGTTTTTTCAAAAAAATTAACATGAGTTTTCGAAAATTAAATAAGTGCTTGCCATTTATAGCGCGAAAAATTTACTCTGATTTTAGTAAGTCTAGGCGGGGTGTTACCGTTGGTATCAGAGCCACTTAGTGGTTCTGTATACTGAAATTTTAGTGAGATATGACCGCACCACGCTCATGCCACGCCGACTCCGAGGTACGTCACCTGTACAGCTTTTATTTGCAAATGCATATTTAATTATAGTCAGATTATTTCAGGGGCGTTAGATCTATCCTTCAATTAAGATTTGAGAATTCTAGTCAGAACTCTAGTAAGAACTTAGAAGATTTTAGTGTACCCGGAACTCTAGCCAAACTAGGTGTTTTCGGAATCCGATAACTTATTAAAGTATAGTGTAGCTATTTATTAATCGGCTATACTGCTTTAGTTAGAATTTCAGCAGAGATAGTTAACTTTGAGAATTTCTGTTAACCTTTCTGCATAATTAATTCTCCGTCAATTATTTAATACTTCATGCTAATCCCTGTCATTGACCAATCAGATGCCTCCTCGTCGAGCCCCGATTCCACGCCGAGCACGATCCTCGCCCGAACCAGTTCCGCGTGCACCACCGTCCCCACCGGCCGCGCCAGTGCGCGACCAGGCCTTTTCAGTTTCTCAGTTCCGCGGGTACCACCCTGCGACGTTCAATGGGCAGGGAGACCCGAGGCTGGTCGACGTGTGGCTGCGCAGCCTTGACATGATTTTTGAGGTGATGGACTGCCTCGAGCCTCACAGGATCATGTGTGCACAACTACAGATGATAGGGGATGCAGGTCTCTGGTGGCATTCGTATTGGGAGATGCGACCCGAGGAGAAGCTAGCCCTCACTTGGGCTGGTCTGAAGGCGCTCCTCCGGGAGAAGTATTACCCGGCCCACTACAGAGAGAGGATGGAGAGGCAGTTCTTAGCACTGGAGCAGGGTGCTAGGACTATCGATGAGTATGAGAGGGACTTCACTCGCCTCGGCTTCTTCGTGCCTTACCTGATTGATACGGAGGAGACGAGGGCGAGGCGCTTCAAGGGCGGTCTTCGCGGGGAGAATCTGTTGGGTTCGATATACCGTACGGAACAGAGTTTACAGCGGAATTTAAAATATTATAAGTATTTATCTTATAAATACTTATTCCGTACATAAGTATAACGATATTACGAATAAGCATCATTTAAAATCTAGTAACTTTTACTTATTTTGATTTGATCTATAATTTATAAAATTACTTTTGTTCTAGAACTCCTTCAAAACCGTCGATGTATGAGGAAATCAATTCCCGGTTTGGTAACGAT